TTATTAACGACGACGACGACGACGACGACGACAACGACAACGACAACGCCGGACAAAATGTTTCCCTTAATATACCTTTCCCTTCCATCTTTGATGGTACGGGCAAGGTAAAAACGTAATACAACATTGTTATTTTTATTTATTTCACACATTACACAAAGAGTATGTACAACTACCAAAACACATTGTAGCAGCATCAAGCAGCAAATCTGCTTGTAAAGTACGGGTAATAATAATGTACAATTTTAAACATTTATTCCATAGCTTGATATCTTTATGTGTAGTTGAGTGTTTAAACAGTGACGTTCGTATATTCCAACTCGTTCATAACAGTATGAATTGACTTACCTCCAAATCGATAAAGTTTGGATAACCATACCCACTAGGCGTTTCAAACAAATGTATTAGTTCTGCATATAGAAAACAAAATAAACAATATTATGCTCAACCAAGCAAGTGTATTTATGTATTAAATTGTATCCATAAACATTGAATGTCACAATCAACCCGAGCCTTATGTAATGTACAGTGGGATGTATGCATACATGTTAGAAGACTGTAACATTCATCCTCAACTGTTTTAACTGACCTGTATTATTTTAGATTTGCGGGCACAATCATTGCTCAGACGTTGTTAGGTTTAACAATGTTATTTCTGACTTTTGACTACTATATTCATTATATTCCACTTCTGGTATTTAATTTTGATCAGACTATATACACTATACGAACAAATTTCATTAGCAATACACAACATTTCACTCAATCAATAAGTATGGTAAATTTGCAAATACACTACAATACTGAATGTATTGTCATGTAATGTGATATTGTTGAATGTAACATCTAATAATGACATAATGAGCAGCGGGATTAAGTTTGCTGGTCACTTACCCATATCACGAGGAAATCTGTGCTGCTTCCAGTTGAGGAGCTGCAACTGTGCTGTCACTTTACTAGGCCTGAAATATATTTGAATTTGTTACTATTTACTAAGTAGTTACTTTTTTTGTCCAAATTGATATAGCGTCATTATTCAGCTACAAATAAATGCAATATGAGAAGGGCGGAATATGCATATGTCTGTCATAGTTTTACCATTACAAATATATAATATCTACTCACACGAATTCAGTCTTATTTATACGATGAGAATAATTCCAGTTTGAGGCCTCGTAACTTGGTCTGTAAATATGAAAATAAAAGTATTATACGACCAATGAAATGAGTTAGAATAGTATGTATACTTCTGTCAATAAATTGGAAATAGAATAAATACTCACTTGAACTCACTACAATCATCAGCATTCAAATATATGGCCAAACCTTTCGCGTCACTCTCCTCTATATCTTCCTTTGTAGCTGATATCTTCCTATACAATAATTTCAAAAAAAGTGTAAACAGTAATTGCATGAACTCGGCATTAAAGATGGATTCCCACTTTCTATTATATGGAGAACATGTCTCATTATTGATTATTATTGATACCATGAAAATGATAAAATCAGTTAGTATGGCAACAATTCCAGACATAATTGGATCTCTGAATGAAATGCTCGGTTATTGGCAAGGCGGAAATCTTGCGAATCCCTTAGCTGTTGCATTTACACATTTTACTAAAAAAAAAGGTAAAGGCTTCAAACAAAATGTTTCCCACAATACAACTTTAATAAATAAATGTATATATACTCACCATGAAATATTCTTAGCAATGACAGGGGTGCTATATACTTCACTGGTCATGTTGCTGAAGTTAGGGATTGTCAGTTGCAATTGAGCTTCGGACCGACTTCCATCTATTCACAACATTCAAAATCAAGAGAACATTAAATGACTTTATTATACATCTGTCACCGTAACGCCATAAGTTACAGCGTGCCGTAATTTTGCGGTATTTTCCGGGATATTTTCATCCTACAATATTAGGAAACGCGAATTTC